CAGCAGCCGCCCCGCCCGCCGCACCAGCAGGGGAGCGGGAGCCGCCATGGGGGTGGAAGGCTGCACCAAGTGCATCAAATACCTCCTCTTCGTCTTCAACTTCATCTTCTGGGTGAGCCCCGGCCCCGGCGGGAGGGCGCGCAGCGCGGCGCGCGGGGCTCGGCCTTACCCCTCTGCTTAGCCCTTTCCCCCCTTTTATTTATTTTATTTATTTTTTCCAAATCAGATATGGCCTGCGGATGTAGATTGATTTTTTTTCTCTCGTTTTAAAATATATATAGGTATGTTTCGCTAAATATGTGGATGTATGTGTGTATATTTTTATATGTATAATGTGTGTATGTATATATACATGCATATATAAACCACAAAGCTACATCCTCCAAGAACGATGGGAGTAGCCTCCTTTATATATAAAATATATAAATAAATGTGTGTGTGCAAGCATGCATGTATGTGTGTATATATATATTTGTGCATGTATAAATATGGTGTTATAGATAGATTTTTTTTTTTCCCCACCCTCCCCGCCATCTCCTGTTTCCAAACCAGGGCAGCTCCGCTTCCCTGCCCCACGGAGGAGCTGGGCAGAGGGGACCGGGTTTGGTGCTGCTGGCGGTTAGGAAGTCAGCGCGCGTTAGCGTGCGAGGGAGGATGTGAGGTGGAGGGAGGAGAGGTGCTGGGCACGCATTGTTTTTGCGTTGGAGAGCTGAACGGTGTGTGAAACCTGGGCTCTTTGGGCTGCTTCTGCTCCCAGGCAGCAGTGCCTCGGGACGCGGAGCTGGTCCGGAGTGTCACGCCTGGGCTCGGGTGTTCCTGGGGATTGCGGGTGTTATCTACCTCAACAGGCTTGCTTCACAGGGAAAGCTTTTCACAAGATAATTCATTGAGATCGTGTGGTGAACGTAGCGACAACCCCGTGTCTCCTGGTTTGTGCGATGCGATCAGTAGATTTGTCCTGGCTATAACCACCCTGCGACAGAGAAGCGCTCGCTCCTTGCGCCTGTTCTCTTCTTGTCTCTCTCTTGGATACTCAGAGCCCTGATGAAAACAGCACGCAGAGCTGGAGGCGAAGCTGCTGCCACCTCCCGCGGGCAGCGGGTGCCCCTGCTGCCACCTTGGCCCGCTCCTTGGTGCAGACACTCTGTGCAGCAGCGCTGGCCAGGCGGGTGGTTGCGAACTTGCTGTTTCTCAGCACTTTCCGTAGTTCTAGGTCGGCGACATCTCGTTCCGCTGGCGAAGACCTCAGAAAGAGAGCCCTGAGCCGTTGTGTTGGTGAGCGCCAAAAGGGGGAAAGTCTGGCCAAAAATAGTTTTTTATTTTATCGTTTTATTCCTGAAAAGGTGTGTTGCGCTGCTGGAAGCGTCCTCTCTGGGTGTTGGCAGTGCTAGAGGAGGCAGTTGGTCGGCTCAGGATCGAGCCCCAGCCCCACCCAGCAACAGCCGAGTCCCCAGAAAACTGCCTGCCTAACGGGTCTGCTGCTCTCACAGACAAGAGGTGCCCATTTGGCAAGCGTTTGCGAGGAATCTGGCTGGTTTTTTCACTCTTGCACCAAGAATCATAGCCAGGAGGGTGAGGGAGCCCAGTGAGGCGAGTGGCGAGGCGCCGATGGCGGCAGAGTTGCTCGGGACGCGGCCGCGTTGGGCGCCGACAGCTCTGCCTGCCTGTGCGCTGCGGCTGCTTTTAGTCTTTCCCACGGGTAGATGAAGCAATTGTGGAGCTGCCCCGTGACCCTCCTGCGGAAAGCCCCGCCATCAAGACACGTAGGGCTTGTTGCTTCATGTCATCAGGAGAGGTCGAATCCAGCCTGATCTTAGGCTCACTTGAGGCTACCTTACGGCTTTGCCATTTTCGTCGGTGTAGTATCGAGCAAGGGGAAGATGACAAGCTCTGACTGAAATTAATTGATACCTGGTAGATTGCCAGGTACAAGATGAATGCAGGACAGTCCTATTTTTTTTAACTGTTTCTTTCTCCTTTAAAGTGACGGGCTAGACATCCGTAGTCTCCTCTAGAAAGTGCCGGACTGCGGACTCATGACGTTCTCCTTGTGTTGTTCCTCCCAAGTTATCATGCTTATCCAGGGGCTTTTTCTTTCCTCCTTGTCCTAATTTCCTGTCATTCTTGTCACAGAAGTCATCTGGTATAGATGCAAGGGAAGAATAGCTGCCTAGGTGACAGTGGGGCTGGCCGGAAGGATGTGCGAGGACTTTGCTCTGCTATTGTTCCTGAGCTCGCTCACTCGCTGCTGTGTGTGTCGCGTTTACAGAACAACTGCTGGTCTGTAAACTTCGGGTCCAAGAGGAATACTAGGTCCTTCCTCTTTCCTTGCCGCGGCTTTTGATGCCTACCCCTACCCTAACCAGGAAGCATCCTGATAGCATTAGTTCCCTGGAAACTTCAGCAAGGATTTCCTCCAGCTTCTTTCAGGGAGAGGTAGGGAGCGTTTTTTGCGTTGTACGTGGTCTTCTTTTGACCACCTTCTCACAGCGTGAGAGAGCTGGGGCTATGCTTTTACTTGAGTTTTAATGGAAGCATTTTGTACAGAGGTTTCTCCATGAATTGTAGGTGCAGCGTACTCCTAGGAGCCTAATTTTCCCAGGGTATTTCTGAAAGATTTCTCTAAAAAAGCCTCAGCCTGGATTGGCACATTTCCAGTCACCTCGAAAGACGCACACTGTGGCTCGAGGAGCAGCAGAAGATGCTGCAGGAGGAGGTCTGTGCTATGCAGCAGCAGCAGGATGAGCCTGCAAGGACTGTGCCCTTGCATGGGCAGCAAGGAGGCAGCCCAGCACAGCAAGCTTGTCGCCTGGCCTGGTTTGCCCGCAGTGACAAGCAGCAGGTTGGGTGGCTCCCTGCGGTGCCTTCCGCACTGGCTGGCAGGCTGCTGGCAACCACAAGGTGCCTCTTCCACCCACAGTGAGCGCAGCTGATAGTGCGTGTCCACCCACGTGTCTGGGGAGAGTTTGAGAATGAATCCCTGCTTCCTTCTTAGGGTGGGTTGGTGTCCTTCCATGATTACCTTGTTCTCATTGCACTAGATGTCTCAAGGCTGAGTTTTCCGTTTGCCTTTGTTATTAAGATTTGATAGGAACCACTTTGTTGCAGTTAATGATGCTTTCGGAGGGGCTGGCCAGTTGGACCCTCATTGAACCACGGCCCCTGTAGCTTTCACACCTTCATTTAAACTTGTGGTCACGGGGAATTCTAGATGTAACAGTTAGCAGATGTGGTGAACAGCAAAACTTGCATTTTCCTCTGGGGAGGGGCGCTGGTCGCTGCCTTATGCTAGCGATGCTTTTGCAGTTGGTGTTTAAAAGTTAGAAGTTGCTCAGAGACAGCTTGATGGCAGGTGGCCGAGCCCTGTGCAGGCCAAGTCGTGCAGGTGCTCTAGCTTGCAGGTAGCCTCTAGCCTGAGACAAGTGCCTGGCGTGGGATCCGTGGTGACGTGCTTGTGCCAGCTGGTTAGTATGCAAGGGTCGTTCGGCTCCTCACGCTCATTTGCCTATCATTTGCTTTGCACTGAATTGAGGTCAGGGGGTGTGTTGGCAAAAACAAGCGCGAGGCTGAACCAAAAGTTTGGCAGGCGCTGCGTTTTCTTAGCATGCTAAAAAGGAGCTTGGGACGGTGCTTGAGAGGAAGAGAGGAAGCAATTCTAAACCTCAACTGTGTTAACAAATAAGAAAGAAACTGCGATAAGGTTTTAAAGTAGTTCTGTTGTCCTGCTGGTGTGTAAATAAACTGACACCCCTGTAGCTTCCTCTCCCTCTCCTTTCCCTGGCAGCGTTTGGGGAAGCTGAACAGAGCCCTTGTGTTGGAAAGTGAAAGGAGAGCTGGCCCCAGTGCCAGTTGCCCCGGTGCCAAAGCAGTAACCTCTGCGGGAGGTTTGGGGGCATGTGTCTGCCAATGGTCCCTGTCCATCCGTCTGAAACGGAAAGGGCTGGACTCACTGGAGGATTTAGTAAGAACAGTGCCTCTGAGCAGTGTTCGGCAGACGTGGTGCCTCATTGAAGAGCAGAAATGATCCTCATGGGCTATCAGCAACAGCCTTTGACCAAAGCAGTGGAGGAAGCCCAGGGTAGCGGTAGGGGAGCTTGTGGTGCTGGGAGAGCGCCTATGCTATGCTGCATGCGTGTCCAGAAACCAAATACTTGACCCAGGCATGTCTCTCTTGTGTTGTGCTTGGCTCGGGCAAGCAGTATCTTTGGAGTATTTTGAGAGGTATGGAGGAGCAAAGGGGTTCTGGAGATCTCTGGCCATCAGCAGCAGCCAAGTGAGTACCTTTGGGTTGGATGATTCAGTTCCCACAGGCCAGACTGCCAAATGCTGAGCACGTGAAACAACGTGCTGCCTTGAGGCAGCTGGACACCTGCTTCTGGTCAGACCTCAGTGCTGTGGGCAGAGTTTTCTGCAAAAATTCTCTTCCTGTTTCGCCCTATGAAACCAGGGTGGCTAGGGCCGACTTGAGCAACCTCTGAAAGAGATGTTTCACTTCTCTACCTTGCAGCACATGGAGAACAAATGGTGCCAGATCATGTAGTGGCTGCTTCGGTCTTGCAGTGCTATTATGGACCAGACAGTCTTTGCTCCTCACTCCGGAGCTGGTTTGGGCTGGACACTTGGTGGGGCCGAGCTGTTTCTGCCCCATGCTCTTTGCTGTGCCCTGGGCAGAGTCGAGGGTAGACTGCTTGGATCTGCTTTCTGGAATTAGTGGGATCTGCTATGCAGAGTGCAGTGTGTGCGGGGCTGTTCTGTCCACAGCCCTGCTTGAGCTGACCACTGCTAAGAGCCTCCCTGGAGAGGCTGAAGAAAGCCAGAAGCCAGAGAACTGTTTTAAAATATAATTAAGCCTGACCAAGGAGAAGTTGCTGGACTCCGAGAAGGATCACCCAGTTAATTATCTAATACAGCCCGTGGCAGCTTTCCAGATTTGGAGCACTGCTGCTGCGTTACCAGAGAGGTGTCTAATTAAAAGGAAGAGCTCGCTTCGAATCCCATTTTCCAGACAACATGCAACTATTGTCTCTTGCCCGTGTATGTGATGTGGGAAAGTCCAAAGGCCTGGAAGAGGAGCAGAAGGAAACATACAGGCAGAAAATCTTTCCTCTCTTG